GAAATAACTGTATGTTCATGTTTTAAAGTAAAAACTTTTAATAAGAATTTTTGATTTTCTTAGTCATTTTTAACTCATCTTCGAGATGAAACTTATCGAAAAATTATCTTTAAAAAACTAACTGAATGTCGAAGAATTAAACAAAATGAAATTAATATTTGTCAAGAAGAAATTCAAGTTATTGATGAGATTCTTGAATTTATTAATCAATATCGTATTAAACATTCAAATAATCAACTGACTTCAGATGAAATGCAAAATCCAGATACAGAAGGTTCATAAAAAATACAAATATATACATCTATTAAATATTCTTTCTATCATTTTTTTTAGATATTACTTTAAATATGTTTGATACAAATAGTGATTTAACTGTATTTGATAATCCAATTACCGATACTACTGATCAATATTGTCTTTCAATAGATTCAAGAGATGATTTGCCAATGGACCCATTATCATCTTTATTTTCTTTATTTCCAACAAATCTTTTTTCAGATGTATCAACTATTAATGATCCAGTACAAGATATTAAAATATTTAACATCAACAATAGATCCAATGATTGAACATTCTCTTAATGAGATTTCTTTTTCTTTTTCAACCAAATACTATTAAATTGATTATTCTTTCTAAAAAATATTGAAATTATTTTTATCTTTAATTAAAAGCATTTCGAATATACTGAAAGTAATATAATATCAATAAATGAACCAATTAAAATCTTGCAACATGTAATCGGTACCTAAACGTAAAATTAGATCTACAGCGATGTTAAAATATAATTCAATATTGACACGAAAAAGATCGCCAATAGTGAACTGATTAGTTACAGAAAGAACTAGTGAGGACAAAATAGATTCGTCGTGTTCACGTCACCAATAGAATTTTTGTTATTTATTTTACCTTTAGCTGAAGTTTTTCTATAAGAAAAAGAAAAAAAAGTATTTATAAAAATATTTCTTTTAAAATTACCTGTCTGAGGATTTAGAATAAATGTTGTATCAATGCATACTCTAAAATGCCATTTTTGTCTTGTTCAAAATGATGAATGAAGTTGATTGATCTGTTCATGATGAAGAGTTACTTCGAAATCTTCGTAAACTACATTCGTAATGATCAATATGAACTCATCAATTTTTGCATAACATGTATCAATAGAAATACAAGTTAGACTAAATATCATACTGATGAGGGATTCACCCGAAGTATCCAACACCGATTCCCCTTCATTCATCCATTGTTTAATAGAGGACATTAGGATAGTACAAAGCTTAGAAGTATTCAAACTGATGGCTTATTAGCGAAGAGTTATGGTCGTTTTATTGAATTTTGTATTGAAAAAATATAACAGCCGTATTCATAAAGATTTCTTCGTTGTCGAGATTAATACTGTGATAATGGAAGAACTACATATTAATATTCGGATCGATATCTTCTTCAAGTTGAATTTTATGCTTTACCTGATGACTCTGTTTTTGGGTACTTATCACTTAAAAGGTTATCGACGGCATGATGAGAGTTTCTTTTTCAAGATCAATAGCGGATTGTCAATCAATCATCAGAACCATTATCATTCCAATCAGAAAAGATTTCTGTTATATAATGATATTTTGATATTGATAAAAATGGTGACAATTTCAAAGGAGAAGAATCCGAAACCTTCGGATATAATCTCAGTGAAAGAAACTATAGAGTTGTGCATGGTAATGTTTAATCAGAGTGTATAGTTTTGTGAGTGAAAAAGTCACAGATAACGCAGTGTGAAAATTGTCTTCAAAATACGGTCATTTATTTCTGATCGATACTTGGACATTGTATATTTACGATTCGCTTAACAAAAGTTTGATATGATCTATCACTGAATACTTCTGTCCCGATTAATGTTGCTGGTTGATTTAAATCCCATAAAACAGTTCGAAAGCCAGTGTCGGTTTGAGTATTATCACGATAGTATGAACATGAATGCTGTAATTGATCATCTGTCTTAATTGGTTGCATTGTTTGTAAACTAATGATTTGATATTTCGTCTCAATCAAAGTTTCACCTTCATCATAGACACCATCATAAATATACTTGATTAGAACATATTGATAATTAGGACTCTGAATAAAACTTAATGCTGCTTGTCGTGGTTTGCCATAAATCTTAATAAATAGATTGTTATCGAAGGAAAAATTCTTCGTCGCACAGCAATAAAGCCGTTGTAATTCAATAAATTTATCAAACCAATATTTATAATCATTTCGTTCCGTTTCGCTTTTCATATCATCGAATTCAATATGTTCCAGTTCCGGTTTTACTCGATGAAAACGGAACGAATGATGACAAAAATTACATATGTTCCCCAATATTTCAAACTGAGGAGGAAAATATTTATTACATTTACATGCTTCTAATACTTGTTCATCTTCTGGGACACCAGTACAAATAATTAGTTCTGTATCAGGATTCTCAACGTGAAGAGTAAGCTGATGACCTTCTCGAGTAGGTTTACAGACAAGACCATTTTTTTTCATAATGTCTAATAGTCGGTCAGTATAGGGAACTGCAACTAATTCATTTTGTTTATTCAACTGAGTACTTTGAATTGAAGGATAATAATTGTCTTCAGCTGATTGAAGATTGTACATATCAATTTTAGTTGGTGGGTCCATGTCCGTTACAGTACTTGTCGCTTTTAGTTGAGTATTATCCTTATTTGATTTATTCATAATAGAAGTAGCTCCAGTAGTTGTACTACATTTACCTGCATCCGTATTTTTTCTAACAGTGGTGTAATTATTGTTCTTGATATTGTGTTTCGAAGCCATCACTTATCTTGATGAGATAGTTTAAACTGAAAATATTCTAAACAAAAGAAAATTATTCAGGATGCAGTTGAGTTTGGAATGCGCGAAATAATTAAAAGAAAAAAATAACGAAAAAAATTTTTCTATTAGAATAAAATAGATTATTTGTATAGTAGCTTTCGGAAAAAAAACATACATTAAAAATAACGACTAAAAAATTAGGCAAACTCATTGTAGTATACATTTATTTTTTCTCAATTTTTTTCTGTGCTCATCATTTATTATATACATTCATCTATTCGACATTTAATCTTATAAAGATATAAAATAAGTGGTTGTCTCATAATATATTATTATGCAGCATCTCTAATATTATTATTTCCATAAATTTTCTATATTAAAAAGTTTTGACAAGATCTACTAAATTAAATGTTTATGTCGCTTGTGTAAATGAATTGTATTCTATTTATCAAGGTTCATTACTATGAAACATATAATAATTAAACATAAGCTATGGCGACATTTTTAATTAGATAAATTGATGTGTTTTATTTTTATAGTTAAAATATTATTATTCGATGGAAATATTTAAAAAGAAAATAATACACAATCGCACGTCTCTGTTGCTTTACGTTTATTTAATTTATTTTTTTCGAATGTGATCGTAAATTTTAAAATCTGTTTGTCATATTTCTTTCTTTGATTTTATCATCGCACGTAATAAACATATCTTTTTCTTATGTAACCAATTCTACCAAATACCTACAAAATCTCAATCACAGAAGAAAGAAAAACCTTACGTAAAACTCTCGAATATTTATCATATTATTCTGCATCAATAAAATCAATCTTATTATCATAAAAACTGAACAATTCATTTTTAGCCAATAATCAATGTCCCCATTATTAAAAAAATGCAATATAATGAAAAACGAAAACTAACAAAATCAGGTTTAAGTAATCGGAAATATTCTAACATCATAAAAATTCTACTTAAAATTTGCATGTAATTTATTACTAGCAGAAATATGACTATTTTATGAAATTAAAATAAATCTCAAACCTATCTATGACATATATATACAAAACTCAATACTGCCTCATTAAGCTCCCTACTCATTATCGATCACGTTGAAGATTCGTGAGTTTAATAACTGTCGGTAGAAGACGCGTGCTATCGACATTACCCACTTTCTGGGTTGAAATATTGCATCATACACTCTGCAAGTTATATTTCAAAAAACTTGAGACAAGATTGTTTGACATACTTTATATTGTGTTATAAACAAAAATTCGAACGCTTGGTAAGAAATGTTTCGATCAAAATCGTAACGAAAAACACGACGACTCAATGCACAAAATAAATTGTTGTGAAAAAAACGTGGATGGAATGAAATTGAATGCTTTCACATTTGTTTACTATCAAAACAAAACGAATTTTTTTGTAATGTCCCACAATAAAAGTAACGTTTGTGTGACAACATCTATTTTTTCGTTCGTTGAGAATGTAGATGTATAATGAGTATTGCATTGACATACACAACAAAATCGATAACGACTCGCGCTCATACTCTCGACAACACTCAATGTTTTCAGAAAAAAAGAAGATTTTTTTTCTATCAAATAACATAAAAATATAATGTTTCAGCAACAATAAGATAGTAATCTAAAGTCTTTATATCTGATAAATGTATTATTCATAGAAAAGTGGCTGCAGAGACGGAAGTAGTTTTTGTTGAAATGAATGATAAGCACTCCGAATTCTTCTCCACGCAAAAAGGAGTTTCGCAAGGATCTTGCGAAACCGTTTTATTTTATTTCAAGAATAAATATAGCTTAAAAATATTTCAAAGCAAAAACAAAATCCATCATTTCTCGCAATTAACCAATTGCAGCGCCGTTAATATCCACTACTCTTGAGACAAATGTATACTGGTTTGCATTAGCCATACCTTTGAAACTGGAATAAAATATTTGAGTATCGGGTGGTAAGTATTCCATATAAATATCAGTTGTACTTTTAGCATCATGTGATTGAACAACTGCTCGCTTACTATTGTCACTTGTTGGATTTGCCTCTGTTGTTGATGTAAATACTTGTACATTGCCTTGAGTGATATTGACAGCAATTTCCATAAATCCACCTAAGCCTGAACGTAAGCCTTTTATATTCGTTCGATAAAATCGGTATGTATCTTTATCTACTTCATTCTTATAGACTACACCTGGCTCATTAAATGCTGGAACATTACATGCTACTAATGTTATTTGATTAATAACTTGTGTTAATTGTAAATAATTTTGTAAATGTAAGACATATTTACTATATGGTGTTGATGCACTTAGTTGTAATTCAGCATTATTGATACCACTTCCAATTCCAACAGCAAATACAACGGCTTTAGTATTTTCTCTTAAAAATTCACTTTGTATTCTAACTAAATTAGGATCATTACTTTGACCATCGGTAAATAGGACAACTGCACGTGGTACCAATTCTTCTTGATTTCGACATGCTGAATCACATACATTTCTTGCACGTTGTATTGCTTCACCAGTTGCTGTTCCACCACCATTATATTGTAAATTATTGATAACTCGAACTATTTGATCTTTCATTTGATTACTACCAACTTTATTGAATACATATGAATCTTCAACAGTTGACGCGTAGCGAAGTATACTAACGTGTACTTTCTGTGGTCCCACATTTAATCGATTAACTAAATCAACCATAGCACTTTTAGCTTGAGCAAATGGAGCACTTCCAATACTTCCAGAGCCATCAAGAAGAATGATCAAATCCAACACTGTTTGACATGTCGTTTGTGAATTGATTTGACGATCAATATTCACAATAATTAATACTACAAGTAGTATATACTTAACAAACATTGTAAATGAAATAAATATGAATATAATTCGAAAGTTTATATATACCCCTTTCATATCTTATCAGAGTTGTTTTTTATTTGCCATTGAATCAGAATCTATGACTAATACATTATCAGTTCTTTTTCCAACAAAGACAGTCCAATTCTATTTTAAGATAATCAATCGAATATATATTTGCTTTCTGTACTCTTTCACATAATTGAAATTTCCGCGAAACTTTGCGAATGACACCAGATGACTTTATTGATTTTCATCTAACGAGTGTAGGCTACTAGCTGTCTAATCGCTCTTGAGATGAAATCCAAATTCCACAATGATTCGGATTAATATCGTTCTTTAGAATGCATTTTTCTCTAAGCATTTCTAGTTTTTGTCAAAATCATCTTCTCAAATCATTTAACTGAAATTGAAAAAATAGTTTCCATTAAGTTTCATGTTGTGATCTTTCATATGGATCGCTGCAAAATATTTTTGTCATGAATTAGCTCAAACTATGTTGAAACTCAGATTCAATACTCCTGATTAATTATTATGCATTAAGTTTCAGCTGAAAAGCGGTTAGATAATTGATGGCATTCCCTCGTAAGACTTTCTATTTAAAAAATCATATATTTGAAATCGAAGAGATTTAGAAGATACTGATTCTCATGAAAGAACATAAATAATTAACTGGACAGTCTCATTTTATTGTTTTCTTCCTGTTCAATATGTACGTCGGTATTGCTATTGCATTTACATTAGTATATCGGATTTTGAAGGAAGTCTGATAATAATACTGATCTTGGAGACAATTTTTTAGTAATAATTACACTGTTTATATCAGCAAGGCATGATATATTTATTGAATAAAACGGAAGTGATTGCACTAAAACGCATGATATAATATAAACAAAATTACTCTTCACTTTGCTATCATCACAAAATCAAAGTTGGAGAAAGAATGAAAAAAAATCGCGCTTTTTTGCGACAGTAAATAGAAAAATTGTTATGAAGTGAGTCATCTGTTACGGTAAAAGGTTTATTTCGTCTATTTATCACTATTAATATTAGCTGTTATGCTTGTCAAAGTCAAAATACGTAATTTTGTCTCTTGCCGTTCTTTATCTATTGAATATTTTTCTATATACGACGTCCGTCATCAGTGACTGACACTATTAGAAATATATTGATAAATTGCAAAAAAAGGATCATTTTTATATCTATAAAAATTATTTTATTGATTGTTTCGATACACAATGGAACAAGCGTTAGCTCAAATTGGTATTCTAGGTGCTGGTATGGCAGTAGGCAATGTTCTAATTAAACTTGTTACCACAGCTGCACGTAAAATAATATCAGCAATTGATCGAAGAGGCGAATCTGATCATAATAATCCACAGCCTTATTATCAACCTATGTCTGGACCAACGTATAATTATTATCAAGCAAATAGATATTATTAATGTTAATAATTGATAGAACAACTATTGTTTTTATACGCACAAGTTTTAATATTTTATTAAATAAAATTACATACTCGAGCCTGATCTCTTTCACATAGTACTCACTCAGCTAGTATTCACAGAGATAACGAATAAAATCAGAAGTAAATTTAGTTAGAAGTTAATTTTTATGGCTATGCATTTAGAAAAATAGCGAAAAGAAATCCTGTTTTTTACTACTCAATTTAAATCCCATAAATAGTCATCAGTTTCGATCTGAATATAACACCATACCCGAAACTTAATTAGCATTTTTGTTCTCTTTGACTTTCGAACCGATCTAAACTCGACTAAATACATATTTCGGTTTATATTCTTGTCTTCAAAATGAAAAATGACCTTTTAATATTGTACATTATTAAAATATCTAAAATAAGCTTTGTAATACGAAAATTAAATTATAGAAATAATATAAAATGTACTGTTATAAATATAAAAATATTGCTTTATTCTATGATAAAAAGTTGAATAGGCAAGTGTTAGACACAGAATATCTTATAATAACTTCACACTGACAAGAGTGTATAAAGTAATTTTATGGACTTTGCTTTTATGAAAAAAAAATGATTTTCTTTTTCCTTTCTTTTGTACCTATATCGTAGAAGAAAACATTTTTGTTCTAATAAATCATTTTATTAGATGTGACAAGAAATGCATCGGGAAGAACGATTGATGCTATTGCAAGTGTTTTAAAAGAGAGATTATAACAAATTTTTATGGTCAAGTTGATTTAAGATAGATTCACTCACTCACTGCAAGTCGCTTTTGTCGTTCTACTACTCGCACGAGGTAAATATAAGAGAAAAATAAATGCGTTCTTTATCTATATGGCATTATAGACGAAATAATGAAGTTTGGTTTCGTCGAAAACTTTAATTATCATGTCTTAAAGAAATATTTTTTATGTATGTTGGGGTTCTTCGGTCGTTTTTTGCTTACACTCTGAGTCATGTGCCAGGTTAAAATTCTTTGAAAATCTCAGAAATGATTAAAATATTTTATCACGGTTCACGTTTGTCAACAATTGATACTAGCGTTGTCCTACATTCTCATTTCATAAAATTATTTGAGCAAGAACTTGAATAAATTTTGAAATATTCCTTTCGATTTTCTCATTGAATGAATACGATTGAGGTTAGGGTTATGAATCATGCACCAGGAATTGTCTAAATAGGACAATTCTGTCTTAAAAAACTAGCAAATGCGTAAACACACATGGAGTTGTCAACCTACAATAGTGAATAATTTGTTGCAACATGACAGTATTTTTATGCAATCTCCACTACAACCGAGGAATACATGATTTATTTAAGTTCTGTTAAGATGTAAATGGAAAAGTTTAAAAATACTTTATTTATTGAAGATCAATAATAAGTATGTAATTAGAACAAATGAAGAATTTAGTTTATCCAGGCCGTCCGAAAGGTCGCCGTGGTGGATGTCTACTTCGTATACCAACACATCGACAGTCATTGTTTGGCGGCCGTCCAAAATTTTGACAATAACCTCCTGCTGAATTACATCCACCATCATTGCAACCACCCCATCCACTTCCCCAACATCCACGGGCATCGACCAATATTGAGTTGCATACAATGAATATAAACAGAACAAAAAATACACCGATCGTTGATTGTTTCATAGCTTGTTTCCTAAAAATAAACATGTTTCACCATTGAAATTTTCATAGTGAGAGTTGTTTTATTAATTCAGATATCTTATGAAAAGTGGGTCTTTAGCGATAAACACACCCATCAGAATATTGAAACGTTCTAGTATTTCCGGGTTTAATTTACGGACTAGAACTCATCACATTGATATATAAAAACAATACACACTGTAAATAATAGTTAAGAAATCAAGACTAAAACTAAACATAAGTAACTGTTTCACATACCTTGATAATTCACTGAAATAAAATCTGATTTCTATTCGGCTTATATAGTATCAAATGTGAAAGAGCACTAAATTCATTTATTACTAAAGTACCAATCACAAACGAGAAAAGTTCTTATCTATACTGATTCATTGCTTAGATGATCAAGTTTCGCAGTGACCTTTTCATTGAAATACTATCCTTTTGTTTTGCTAGTGGGAAATTTCACATAAGTTATTACGATCTTAGTCAATGATGAATCATATAGAATTTTCAATTGTATCATTATTTCTTTATCTACACCATCAAGATGCTTTATTTCTCTTATCTTACAATGAATAGAATAATTCTTTTCTATTTTATTATTGAAAAATATTTATTTGGTCTTTCTCGTTAATTTAAGTTGAATGAAAGCCATGCCGTAAAAAAACAGAGCCATCGCTGCTAATGCTAGAATATTTTGCCATCTATCCCAATCTGTTTGATAATTGATGTTTTTATTTTTTAATATATCCGTTCCATTGGTTGGACAAATCGATGTCATATTAGCCAAACAAAAAGTTATATCACGAAATTCATTGATTGTTAACATATTCGATGCATATCGAAAAGCACTCAACCATTTAATCCAAGCTACCCAATCTTTTACACCAGATAAATCAACTATAAAACCAGAAAATACCATCATTATTACGAAGATAAGTATCACAATAACTAAAGCAGTAGCTAAAATATATACAAATAAAATTAAAATGCGTACTCTTTATAAAATATTATTTTTATAGTCTTACAAAATGTATGAATAAGTGCGGAAAAGTACAAACATATTGCTGATCCAAATAAACTACACACGAATATAGTAAAAAGAAAGATAAAGAATTTTTCTGCAGTACGTTGTAATCCAATCAGAAAATAAACAATTAGTGAATATACGATCGATGGGATGATTCGTAATAGAAGTATATCCGAAATAACTTTTGTAAAAAAAAATGCCGGAATTCTATAATATCCACTGGTATATTCCTAAAAACGTTCAAATAGAATATTTGAATAGTT